TCAGAATTAGAATCAGATTTATTGCCCAGGTAGGTTTTTACACATACGAGGAATTTGTCTTGGTGCAATTGTGCTTAAAATATACAATCACATAAAAATATATAAATCACACAAAAATATACAAGTCACACAAAAATCACACAAGAATAAAGTACTTTTTAAAAATATAAATAAATAAAGATAAGAAAAGATGAGAAGACTGTACAGAAGACGGGAGTGGATATAATGTTGTATGTTCAATTTTACCAATTAAAAAATACATGGGCAGGCAGGTTTGAAAATTGAACATGTGGTCTCTGAAGATACCTTGTGGACCACTACTGTTATAGTACGTATATGCAGGTCCCTGTTTCATTCGCAGGTTTTATGTGAAAGGGAATGCTTTTAGGATATTTGTTAAACCTCAAGAATACACATAATTATTTTGGTGAGTGTAGCACCCCAACACTCTGTAAATGCCTTAGTTAAAGGAAATCAACTTGGACTTGAATGACGGGGTGTTTGGGTGTGATTTATAAAGGTAGCTACCACTAAGTTTTACACGTTTTGTGTGAAACCTTTTATAGCCTAATACCTTATGAATAAACAACAAAACTGTCTCTATTCAAACATACTAATATTTTAAATGACAAACAAAATGTAACACTATTTCCCTATACTTACATATATCCCTATACTCAGATCAAATATGCTACTTAACTAAACTCTAAACAAAACAGTGGGCCCACACACACACTCTCACATGCACATAAAAATAAGAAACTGGACAAATAGTTTGTGAAGAGATGAAAGAAGAAAGTAAACGTCCTTCCCGTTCAGCAATGGCATCCTCATGTTTAAACCTCTTGGTTCTTTTGTAATCAGTCAGTGTGAACACAAACCAGATCGGAGATAAAAAGGCAACAATGGATCATTTTGTTGTTAGGTCCTAAACAACTGGGAATTGACATAAAAATGTTAACAGGAGAAAATTTATTTTTTAATACAAGCCTCTGGTCTAGCAAGTGGCTGGCTTTAGCAGTCCCTCTTGAACTCAAATGCCCTAATCCACTGTGTTTAGGCAAGAAATGCTTGTTACTGTCCTCAGCTACAGCTTCTTCTGTTACTTATTTTGTTACTTACATTCACCAAGCTACCATATTGTCATTATCTCTTAACTTTCCTTCAGCTCCGTATTTCTCTCTTTTCTCTTGTCTCTTTTTCGACGTTTCTCCCATCCTGCTTGTTGTCGTTTTTGTCTTCCCACCCCTTTTCTGTTAACTTCCTTACCTACAGCAAATTACCATCAGGTGACATTGAATGATACCTACAGTAACCAAGCAAATGAAACCGCATGAACCAAAGACTGATTATTATTAAATAAAATTATTATTTTACCACACACTTTCCTCCACTATAGAGCAGTTTAATGTAACTACTTAATGAACTATTTACACTCTACTTTATTATTGATGAATTTATGTTAATCTCTCAGTTATCTAAGTTTTCTCTATTGTAACCTAAATTATTTTCAGTTTAATTGCGTTACTGAATTATTTCCATCTTTTTATGTTTATTACAAATTAACTTGTTTTAACCCAGGTACTTTTACACTGGGCTACATGAGTAAACAGCTGTGTTTTAGCATGAAAGTGACCTTGACCCAGGTCTCAACAAAAAAAATACCACTTAGGGCAAGTAAAGATAGTAACTCACTTCCTAATCGGGGATGGCTTTACGACGTTGGGTCTTCAAGACGGTTTGGCTCCGTAGAATCTTCAGATCCTATCAAGAGTGCTTCAGAAGCGGAACAATTTTGTCCTTAAAAATGATACAAAACGGCGTGTTTCTGCGCTTCAATACTCCTCTGACTGGCCTCTGGCTGATTGACTTTGGCCTGATGCCACAATGTTGATGCAAGCATGAATTTCAATCCAATATCTGCAGGGGGTATTTTATTTTGAAATTTGACTGGATTCTCTATGCCCTTTCTGTGTCTGACTTCCTGCCAATGCAGTCTGCTCTGTGCTCCAAGACACTGAATGAACAGCGGAAACAAAAAACATCAGAACATGAAACCAGACCAAAACCTCTCACAGCATCCTGAGAAGAGGTCAGAGGTCATGGATCATAAGTCAGTGAGCAGCCAGAGAAAGAACAAGGAGGACATTTACATCTGACAAATCTGAGGCCCCATTTGAACAAAGACATTTCCATCTCCCTGTCTTTTTCTGTCAAATATAGAGGAAAATAACACCTAAACGATTTCCGAGATTTGAGATGAAACTTGAGATTTTTTCTTTTCTTTTATTTGTCAAAAACATGTCCACACATAAGCAACTATTTAATTCTCTATATAGTGTTTCAGTTGATCATTGCAGAGAAGCTGTAGGCCTCCAGTGTGATTGGCGGATTAGTTGTGGTGCTTTGCTTTGCTGAAGTCTTTTCTGAAAGCTGTCTATCTGTACACTATGTGTTTGTGTGATTTCCATGTCTATCACTGTTGCTGTTGCTTGGCTCAGGAGGACATAATAGACCTTCAACTGCAGCGCAATCTGGATTACTTAGACCATCAGGTAAGAGGACACACACACACAGTATTGTTTGCCATTACATATTTCATACACTGTTTCCCAGTCAATGTTAACCGTGTTTGCGTGTGAGCTTCTTTCTCTCCTTTATTCCCTTTCCTTTATTTCTCCTTTCCTTCCATAGTTTCTTGTTTTTTTGTTATATCCTTGTACATTTGTCAAGTAAAAACACTTTAACTTTTATCTTAGCCTCCTGAGTCATGTATTTCGGTTCTATTGTGTTTTTTTTTAAATGTGACACTATCATGACTTTATTTCACCTTGGTTCTTCATTCTGAGACATAAACCAAAGAGCTTCTGTGATGTTTAGAGATGAGGAAACATACAGGGTTGCATTATCAGTATTCCAACATTATGTTTAAATAAGGCTTAAGAATGGCTCCATAGAGTTCTTCCCATTTGACTGCTGGCAGATGTTACTTACTGTATTTTTGTAGAAACTTAATCACCAGCCATCCACTGCAGAAAGCATAAAAACCCAGCCAGCAAAACAATAATTTATTTGTTGGTTTCTCAATTTAGATGTCCTCTCTTGCAAAAGAAATCTTGATGACTTTCTGAGTAAATTAGGCTTTATATTCCCCAGAATAAAGAACAGAATATTGGGACATTGACTTTTTCTTCCTCTCATTGAGTCTGGTTGATGTTTAATTTGTTCAATCTTTTTTTTCCACAGGTGCCTCCTTTCCATGATGTATACAGCAGAGAATTACATCCCACACTGAAGCTGAATGAAATTGAAACCAGTGTAAGAAAAGGAAAAACACACTCTTACACCCAGAAGATTATCATGTTTTTCAAATACACTGCATGGCCAATGGTATGTGAACAACCCTGTCTACATATTTAGATCTGTGGTCTAGGCCCTAATCAGAATGCTTATACATATGCGGTTACCATATATTTCAGACATAAGTATAGTGTTCCTCCAACTTCTTTTCAACAACATGAGTGCACAAAGCCAGCTCCATAAGGAATAGTTTTCCCAGTTAGGTGTGGAAGAACTTGACTAGCCTGCACAAAGCCCTGACCTCAACCTCAACCCCACCTTTGGAGTGCTCACTATGAGCCAGGCCTTTTCCCACAACATCAGAGTTGGACCTCACTAATACTTTTGTGGCTGAAACCAGAAGAGCAGATGCTGTTACAACAGCAGATTAAGAATGATGGTAAATGGACCTGTACTTGTATAGCGCCTTTCTAGTTGTCCAACCACTCAAAGCACATTTTACACTACGTGCCAAATTCAC